GGTCTCTCTCTGACTCACTGGGACTCGGGCCCGGTGCGCGACTGAGCGGTGCCTCTCGCCGACTTTGCCAAGCGGTCCAACAGCGCGGACGCTGCGCCCGACGCAGTCTGGGGCGGCCGCCGAGCCCTGGCGGGAGCCCGAACCGAATCTAGCTCGCCGGAGCCGGTGAGTCTGGAGCCTGAGCTCCTCGGGCCCCGGGCCCGGAGAGCGGCTGCGGCGTCTCCCGAGAGTCGCGACAGTGGGAATGGCGTGTCGCGCCCTGGCGACGGGAGCCGCGGGAGGAGGGGCAGCGTGGTGGCCAGCTGGCCTCGGGTATTTACCTGCCACACCAGCGCCGTGCGGCCACGCGCTCGCCCGCTGTAGCCGGGCTTCTTTGTCCCGATCTCGATGTCTGGAGGGTCCTGAGCTGGAAGGAATACCCTGTCGCGTTCCCTCCAGGGGGAGCGGCCGAGGGCAGTGCGAGGCCTCCAGAGAGTGCAGAGTGGGGGTGGGGAGGTCCTGCAGGAACCAAGGCACCGGGGTTCTTTGGCTCTGGCAGACTCCACCCCTACTTGTCCCCCTACCCTGACCCCAGTGGCGCAGGGGTCGCCCCGGGACTCTGCATCAGCGCCGCGGGAAAAGGAGGAAGGGGCGGTAAGAGGCGGGAATTTCGCCTCTACGCGCTTCTCCTGGGATCAAAAGCCGGGAACCGGAGCATAGCGGCGGCTCCTCCGGAAGCGGATGCAGGTGGGATACACGCCCCAGAGGCCGCAGGTTTCAAGGCTCTGTTTTCACTTGAGGTTAAAGGTCAGAGATATAGGTAGGTCCTGGGTTAGGGCCGCTGGGGGAGGGGAGAGAGGAGAGGGCTGAGGGTAGTGGGCCAAGTGGTGGCTTCTGTGTGTGAGAGGGTTGTGTCCAGCCTTGGGGGGAATGGAGCCTACCTCAACTCTGTGGAGGTTGTAGGGGGGATGTTCCCACCCCCCTAGCCCTGCCTTGGCAATGCTTGATCAATGGGTTGATCACTACAGCAAAAAGGACTGAGATTAGACATAAAGGAGAACTTTTAAAAGGTGGTACAGTGATGGAGAGGCTGATTCTCCCTCTTGGAGAATCTCAGAATAGATTAGGCACAGCAAGTATAATTAGACTTTGGTTCTCTGGTGCCATCACTTCCTACACCACCCAGCTCCCCATAACCACCAGACACACAATTGTCCCCAAGTCAGGAAGTCTCCTCCTGCCTGCCTCCCCAGCTCCCTTCCATCCTTCCTCCAATGATCTATCACCAATGCTGATAATGTTGATCCTGACCCCTCAAACCCTAAAGGGGACAATTCAAGGTGAGGACACACCTGTTGAGTTCCACCTGGGATGGAAGCTGCCCCTCCTGTCTGTCCTGAGCAGAAATCCTGGGGGAGGGGGGGATGTATGTGTGTAGTACATCCTGATACCTGGAGGCTCTGGTGTTCTGACTGTCCAGAGGTACACCCTATAGTCTGGAATGGCAGGTACCTGGGCATCAGGCTGACGGCGAGAGAAGGCTGAGGAGTGAGCCAGCGGCCCCAGATGAATCAGTACGCCTTCCCTGCAGGCTGCTTCAGAAAGTGAGTTTGAGTTGTTAGCCCTGGGGAACTTTAACTCTGGCTGCTGAGTCACAAGCCTCAGGAAGCCCCAGGGGGCAAGCCTGGGGGCTGAAAGGGACACAGAAGGCAGATGGAGGCCCTTGATCTTAGCAAAAAAAAGAAAGAGACCAAGAGTGGCTTTGGGATCTCAGGGTTTAGGTGAGTACAGGGTCTGGGAGAGGCTGTGGCATTCAGGACCAGTCCCCAGGTATCCCAACTCCCAGCCTACTTCCTGCATCCCAGAGCCACTGCCTGTCAGAGAATGTTGAGTCTTTTCATTCGCAGTTTCATGAAAAAAACGCAGGTGGCTAGAGCATGCCCAGTTCCCTTCACCATTGTGTTTCCCCCTGCTTTGCTCCTGCTCTAAGGCTCTAGCTCTTGGGATTTCTAGTAACACCCTGAGATTCAACAATGGAGATTCAGACTGCTATCATTTACTGGGACCCTCCTCTATGCCAGCATCTGTGATAGGAATTGCACAGGGAATCTCAATCAGACACCAGCTTGGAAACACCCCTACATGAACCATCCCAGCTAAAAGCAAGTTCCTCTGTTTCTTTAAAAACTCTAAAGGCAGAGTTGACACACTCCCTCCACCCCCAGCCCTGCAAAGGGACACTGATGGGCAGCTCTCCACCTTTCTTTCTTTCAACTTTTTCCACAGGCCAAGTTGCATGGGCTCTGGATTTAAGGTAGTAAGCAGAGGTTCCGAGGTGTCCCAGAAAATGCAGGAAGCTGATGGGAGAACCAGCTGCCCTGCCCCTCCCAGGCTGGCAGCTGGAGATGGTTATTCTCCTGCTTGCGTATGGCCATGAGATATATGTGATGTTTGTTCACTTCTCTAATGACTCTGGAGATGTTCTGTGATTCAGCCACCTGTCTTTGAAGTTGGCCTTTTGCATTACAGATAATATTTTTCCTCCTTGTGACGGCAAATTAAATGCATCACTTTTCATCAAAATACCAAAGTCTTACTTTCTATGACCGAATAATCAGTCTCCCCCTCCTTGCTGGAGGGAAGGAATTCTGCAGATTTTGCCTTCCTTGGAAGATCCTTGCATGATCCGTTAGAACCCATGGTGGTGATCCTCTGACTCTGTGGTGTGTCTTGGCTTCAGGAGTCGAGAACCAGGATCTAGTACCTAGGAGTTGTAGAGCCCTTGGATTTATAATTCTAGAAGTTCTCTTCTGTCTCTCTGACTGTGGGAACTTCAAGAATGGGGATCTTAGATCCAGAATGCTCCATCCCTCCAAGCTCTGTACAAAAGATGTGTTCTTTTCTGACTATTCTAACATTATTCCGTCCTCCTGTCCACAGGGTGGGAGTATAACATGTAGCTGCAAAGAAGTAAGACTAAGATTGAGGCCTCTGGGTCAGACCAGGTTTTCTTAGGGCCTGTGTTGGGCTGTCTGGAATGGGGGAAAGCAGGGTAAAAGAAAGTCCTGACTGAGCTAGGTGACACCCCCGTTGGTCCTGCTTAGGAAAAGAGGCCTCTAAGCATGGAAGGACTGGGCCACACTTAGGAAGTGAAATCAGAGGGGCCTTTGAAAGTAGAGGGGAGCAGAGCATCTATTAATAACTCTGGATGCTCCGAGTATATGAGACTACCTCATCGCTCTGTTCTCTACTGATATGTTTTTCTTGCACATGGACCCAGACAGACCTCTCCTCTGACTAGTTGCAAGTATAAGCAGGAAGAGCTGGTAAAGGGTAAAAACAAAAAGATGTTTGTGGCTCTCCACCTGCCCCTACCCCATCTCCATAGCCTTGACCTTCACATTCAGAGGGACCACATACCGGACCAATCAGGCAGAAAGGTCCAGTCACCATCTGCCAACACAATAATGCTAATAATTGCTAAATTAATGCCAAAGCTGTGTTAGCGATAACACTCCACATTAGTCTCCGATTTATCTCTGAATCCCTTAATGAAGGTGGAAGCGGTGTCCAGTCATAAAGCTTGGTGTGGCCGTAATTAGCCCAGCATTGTCTCTCCCCATCACAGCTTTTTCAGGAGCATTAATTCCTTCTCTGTTTGGACTCTGCTAATTATCCCCATCGGTAGTTCTGCCTGGATCTCTGAAAGAAGGAAAGGAAGCAAGGACGCTGTGCTCCCCCTCCCGCTCACCCGGAATTTTAATTATACCAGGTTCTCCTAATAAATTTACAAGCCACAGCAGAGCTCATTATTAATGGACCACGTCTGTGAGCCTCAGAACAGAAGAGCTCCTGTCCCCCCAACAAACAGAGAGAGAGATACACACGTATTTCTCAGCACATCTCTAAATGAGATGTTCCAAGGGCCACTGGTTATTTACCTGGTGGCTGGTGGCTAGCCCACAGTGTCTGCACTTTCCAGGAAAGAAGAAAGGGCAGAGGATGAGAAGGTTGGTCATAATCCTAGCCTTCAGGGTTCTGCCCAGTTTCCGAGAGTCAGGCCAAAGGCCAAAGAGGATGCCTCCCACCCTCTCCTAATTATAACAGAAATGCCTCCTCAGCTTCTCTGCCCAAGCCTTCAACTCCACAGTTCAATTCAGCCTCCAGGCCACCCAGAGACTTGGCTCAAGAGCCTGGACTTTGGCATCAGAAAGTCCCAGGTTCAAATCCTAGCTCTTCCGCTTAATTCGATGTATCCTTGAACAAGTTACTTAGGTGCCATCTCAAAATTTAGTTGGTTTGTCATTGAGAGGTGAATACTAAGA